CCAATAGTTTACTTATCAACTAATTGTACCTACAGTTCAGTTTAGATCGTGAAATACAGAATGAACAGAAATTTTCACGATCTAAACTGAACTGTAGGTTGCGCAGTTCTTAGCTTGATATCGTGTCACAAACATTAAAGTTAATCGTTTACCGTTTTACAACTTAGCTTGATTAAACTTTAATGTTTGTAAAACGATATCAATTACCAAGACCCACCACGTGGAGGTGACTACGCACACAGGTCTCATTATAATCAGTCTTGTAAATCAGTACTGTTTCATATATTTCTCACACAGGTTTCAACTTGTACTGAATTGAAGTAATTTGTTACAAAGAGAAATGGTATTCGTAAAATAAGGCATAATTGTTTGCTCGATCTAATGACTAATTTATGATATTGAAAAAATATTCTTGTTTGATTAATTAATAGTAAAGGACTAAATTATTTTCCAAATTATGGATTTAAAGAGAAATTCTGAAAGTATCTAATAATATTTAAATAGCAATAGTATTGTTAGACTAATATGATCTATGTATATGCAGAAATATAACATATATCACGTATTAAAGAATGGTAACTAATAAAGTATATCTTGTACGACTACGATACAATGGAAATTGAACTCGTATTCAAGTTCAAATAGTCACGATCAAGTATTAACTCAACACTAAGGAAACCAAACCATGTAACTTACCAATCGTTGAAGTCAGAATTGTAGATTAAGGTTTAGTTGCAGACATATCATTTGAAATTTTTCTGTTAAATTTTATTCGATGTGGACACGACGGAAGTTTGATTGATAATGAGCCTCATTACTGCTCAAGGTTAATCATATGTTTCATTCGTCAGTGATCGAGAGCGGTTGGTAATTTTTTTCAAATTTCTAAAATTTGGTCGATGTGTATACGATGGAAGTTTAATTGATAATGAGCCTCCGTATTGTTCAAGGTTAATGTATATTTCGGTCGTCAGTAATCCAGAACAGTTGATAATTTTTTTCAAACTTCTAAATTTGGTCGATGTGGACAGGACAAAAATTCAATTCGTAATGAGCTCTTGTCTCCGTATCGATTGACATTAATCTGATCTTTCGGTCGTTAATGATGCGATACAGATAATGAAAATTTCTTAGAAATGTATTAGTGACTCGATTACTACAAATGATTAATTAAAAATTTTAAATAGAACTTAGAAATGTTATAGAAGAGAATTTATTGTTTAATTGTTACAAATAAATTATTAGAAATATTAGGTAATATTTAAACAATTGGAATATTCAGAAATATTATTTAAAACTCACTCCTAAATTTTGGTCGATGTGCACACGACGAAAGTTCAATTGGTAATGAGCCTCCGTACTCCTTAAGGTTAATATATATTTTGATCGTCAGTGATCCAGAACAGTTGATAATTTTTTTTTCAAATTTCTAAAATTCGGTCGATGTACACACGACGGAAGTTCAATTGGTAATGATTCTCCGCTCAAGGTTAATGTATATTTCGGTTGTCAGTGATTCAGAACAGTTGACAATTTCTTTCAAACTTCTAAATTTGGTCGATGTGGACACGACAAAAATTCAATTCGTAATGAGTTCTTGTCTCCGTATCGATTGATAATAATCCGATCTTTCGATCGTTAATAATGCGATACAGATAATGACAATTTCTTAGAAATGTAGTGACTCGATTACTACAGATGATTAATTAAAAATTTTAAATAGAACATCGAAATAAAAGAGAATTTATTGTTTAATTGTTACAAATAAGTTATTAGAAATATTAAATAATATTTAAACAATTAGAATATTCAGAAATATTTAATTCACTCCTAAATTTTGATCGATGTGCACACGACGGAAGTTTAATTGGTAATGAGCCTCCGCTCAAGGTTAATCATATATTTCAGTTATCCAGAACAGTTGATAATTTTTTTCAAACTTCTAAAATTTGACCGATGTGCACACAACGGTAATTTAATTCGTAATAAACTCTTGTCTCTGTATCGATCGACATTAATTCGATCTTCCGGTCGTTAATGATGCAAAACATATGATTAAAATTTCCTAGAAATGTAGTAGTGACTCGATTGCTACAAATTATTAATTGAAGATTTTAAATAGCACTTGGAAATGTTATAGAAGAGAATTTATTGTTTAATTGTTACAAATAAATTATTAGAAATATTCGATAATGTTTAAACAATTAGTATATTCAGAAATATTATTCACAAATTCACTCCTAAATTTCGCTTTGTTTGCAAACATTTGTCTGTTTATTTTGGTTTCCAATGTTTATTTACATTTTTTTTATGTAAACACACTTTGTTTCGAAAAATTTTCGAAAATTTGAGATCGTAATTTCGAAAACTTTGAAATTTCGCTTTTTTTTTGCGAACACTGGTCTATTTATTTTGATTCCCAATGTTTGTTTACATTTTCTTAGATGGAAACACACTTTGTTTTGAAAAATTTACTCATCAACTGCAGTTCCGCGAAATAAAAAAAGGAGAGAAATTTGCACGATCTAAACTGAATTGTGGGTCGCGTAGTTCTTAGCTTGATACCGTTTTACAAACATTAAACTTTATTGTCCAAGCTTTGATGTTTGTAAAACGATATCAATTACCTTGTCTTACCACGAGGAGGTGACTACGCACGAGTCTTTATTCTACTTAGCCCGGAATTACACAAAAAGGAGACAGACGTTCCATGGTTCAACTTCAAACTTAAATCTAATCTTAATCTAATCTTAACTCTAAAACACAAGTATGAACTATAAAACTCTGTCTCGCAAACAACGATCGCGTTAACAATAAGTTCGTCTCTCATGCAATCATATAATCATACAATACATAAATTTATACAATATATAAAATACATACGAATGCAAATGTATGCAATCTTGCAATGTATGCAAGATATACAATATGTATGCAATATACTTTTAAACAGGTGTTAATAGTCAAATATATACTAAATTTTTCATCTCAATTTTCATCAATCTCTGTTTTAAAATTGTTATATTCTTTCAATTGTTATATTCTTTCAATTGTTATATTCTCTGTTTTAAAATTGTTATATTCTTTCATTGATGTTCCACCACGTTCAATTCAATGAATAATTCTCGAAATATATCTGGCAACACTGTCATTATTTTCTGATTTTCACGGTGCAAAACTTGCCTGAATCGGTACGACAGGATGTGACACGAAAATGATAAGTGGGCTCGTGCACCCTCCAATCGTGGGCCGAAAAAGTACATTGTATGTTGGGTCTATTCATATACCTCGTCTGTGGTGCCACCGTCGAAAGCTCACACCCTTCTCTCTGTTTTATCGGCTGCAGCTACAAGGTCGATAATCTTAGCGAGCGTCCATGAATTTTGAACAGGTGGCGGCAAGAATCCATCAGAATTCGTACGAAGAATTTTCTTTTCGGAAAACGGCGTAGGTGCGCGAAAGATCGCAGTTTAAAATAATTATACGCCTTATCGACGAGATTCTTGTTGGTCCTCGAACACGTATCCGCTGCTATTCCATCTTTAATTGGACTCTCTAAACTCGTTCGTCCGGTTTTTCCTTGAGGAAATTCAGCCGACTTGTAGCATTTAATTTTAACAAATTTATTCAGTTACGTGACTTAGTTTTTAACTCAATTTTCTTTTTTTATTTCCAACTAGGAAATCTGGTTAGTCGAATGTTTGTACCAAGTGGACCGACCTGTTGACCTATATCTCGAATAATTTTTAGTTTCTATGGATATCGATCCTCTCGTTTGTACTCTATTTTGACAAAAGGTTCGAGTGTTTTCTTGATACGCGTTATTACGAGCAATTTTATCAATATGTGCAAATCTCGTCAGCTCGAATTTGCGAAGGTTCTAACACCTTTTAGGTAATTAAAATTTAGCAGGTTTATTGAGGAATTCATTAAATTCTTATTAAATTCTGATTAATTCATCATTCTATGCTACAGATAACATATTTACATTATAATATATATATTGTACCGTCAATTAATTTATTATTCTCTGCTAAATACGATAAATAAATTAATAATAATTATTAATAGTAATTTATATGTGTATATATTTATAAAATATTTATGAACTATTTACTATTACATTAATTAATTTCCTATCTTTTATTTTACATAATATACCTAATTTATTTATTCATTTTTATTTATTATGTACAACAAAAGATAATGAATTAATTTTTTAGTTTATTTAGTAAACTATTTTTCAACGCGTGTAACATTTAGAAACACTTGGCTATTTCTCTTTTCAAGCGCTAATCTCGACAATTATCTCGTTCGAAGTATTCTTCGAATATAAGTCATTGCAAATTCAGCGTTTCATTCGAAACAGCTGGCAGCTTATGAACATGTAATGATTAATCGATTTCACCTCCACCTTGGCTGCCTGAAATTCCATGCAGTGGGCAAATAGCAACTAAACGCGACCACATCGTCGCCAACAGCATTTCGGCTAACAGTTTCCGGTTGTATAAGTTGCAAGCTACATAGTATTTCTAAGGTTTTGTGGCTTTTGAATTTGCAAGCTTTACTTCCTAGTTGCTGGTTAATTAACCAAGTCATATTATTGTTTGCTATTGTTGATCTAATCCAAAAAGAAAGTCCATTAATACTATTAAATGTTAATTCTATCGAAAATGAAATTTCTTGTCACTTTAAGGACATAAGTTCGTATATTTCGTAACATAGAAAATTCTTTGACATCTGCAAAATAATTATTTCCTTCTTTTTAATTTTAGATTCGTAATTTTGCATCTTATTTTTTTTTTCTGTAAGTATACTTTGTGTAAGTATGTTTTGAATGACGTTGAGGAATTTGTATGATACCCCTTTTTCAAATATAAAATCTCAAATTAAGCTCTAAATGAAAATTTGTAAAAAAGTTATGTTAATAAAATCTAATCTGCATAATATTTTAGATCATTTTTATCGTCAAAGCCACGAAAAAGGAATTAAAATTATTATATCCAACGAATATAATAAAATATCGTAACACGATAAATTGTTAGAAAAAATATAACATTGAAAACCTGTGCACTTTTGTTTCATGAAAAATTACTTTAGCGTTCGGTTAACCACCCATAGAAAGTTTATTTGCAATCTTTTACGAGATTTTTACTTCAATGTGCAATTTTCTTGTGTGCGCCTCTCTCTATGAACTGCGAATGTTGCAGAATAGGTGTGATTAGGTGCTGTCTCTATAAAAAGTAGGTCGCATAGAACTTGTAAAATCTGGTTTCAAACAATATAGCATTATTTTGACGTACAACATATGCTACTGTATGCTATTGTAGGGTAATTACATTTTCAATCGTTCAAACCGAACCAACAAAGTTGAAAAATTTACTTTTCAAATATTATATTGTCCTTTAGAAAATATGCTGTATCGTTTGTGTAATTATACCTTGAATTGTTCACAGTGACTCGATAAAATTTGATTGGTTTCTCAAGTATAATTATCTTTAAAATATATCTCCTATCGTTTGCTACGTAGTTTTCTAAAAAAGTTACATTTCCAATTTTCCAAATTTAACGAAGTATAATTCATCAATTCTGAAACACAATAATATTTCGAAAAATTCGTCTATCGTCTATTACATACTGTTGTGAAACAATTATGTTTTCATTTGCCTCAACTGAATTAATAAAATCCGATTTTTTCTTCAAATACAATTTTTAGGAAATATCGCGTATTGTGTGTTACGTGATATTCTAAAATAATTACATTCTCAATTGCTCCAATTGAATCAACGAAGTTCGTTTTATTTTTTCCAAATGTAATAATTTTTAGAGAAATTTGCTATTGTCTATTACGTGCCACGGTAAAATAATTACATCTTCGATTGTTCAAACCGAATCAACGATTTATATAACATCCCATATGTCGTTCATATCGCTAGGTTCATATCAGATATGTATATCGTGAAAAAAATATGATAAATGTATTTTTATCCCTCGAATCATCCTCTAACATTTTTGAAGCGACATTTCAAACGACGAACATAAAACAAATAACCTACATATATGTATGTATAAAAGGGAATGCAGAAATGCTACACAAAAATTCTTTTCAAACGAGCGTGGAATGTAATCAAAGTGCACATCGGATTCACATACAGTCAGTCACAAAAGTCAGCAAGTCTAAATACGTCTGCCAAATTCCAAATATGCAAAGAGAATCAGGGATTTAAAAGGGATTTTTTTCATAGGCTTTAATCATATGATGATTGTTTGAAATTATAGAAATTAAATCGGATGTTTGTTGTATCGATGTCTCTTGTATTTGTTTGAAACGTAGATAAATTGGGATAAAAAGCCACTACTAGTTTACTAGTGTATGAAATATGTTGTTATTATTATTATTGTCGAAATAAATTTTATTCGTTTTGATGTGTGCACACTTGTGCATTGCACTGAAATTTAATTTGAAAAGAAACCGAAAATAAATCGACGCTATCATGATATACATTATGAACGTAATTAAAAAAATTTAAGCTTGGTTTCATCGAATAAATATTACTTGAATTAGCTTCATGAAAATATTTGCATGCAAAAATTTCCATAAATATCTGTTAATACATTACATATTGGAAAGAAACATAAGAAACCGCTATATTTCTACAGTAATTTAATTTAATTACAACAATGTAATTTTATTTCGTGGAATATTGAAAGAAGCAAAGACTCACGGAACATATATATAATGTGTAAAAAATATATGAAACATCTGTTATAAAATAAGATTATTTATCATAATAAATTTCTATCAAAGTTCCACTTTTCTAATTCAAGTTACATGAAAATCCGCGGTCTGATTACTCCAAATTTTGGCTGTTGTTGTTGAAAATTTAATTACAACTGTCTTAACCATAATTACAAATCAATCAACAATTCAAGAAAACTCATCTTTCTCCGTTTCAAATAATCGAAATTCCGAGACAGATGTACACGGAAACGTGCGACAATCCGCGAGATTCTGACTCAAACAGAACCCCAGTTGGGGAAAATAGCAGAACGACGAATGATAAAATATCAGATGGGCGGAAGCGTGATATTTGAACAAAGGTGACCTTTCCACGCGTTTCATAATTTCTTCTTTTCCACCGTTCACCGCGCCGTGAGTGCACGGGGCGCGCGATCCGTTCACGCAGGCACGTTCCTGCGGTCGCCTCACAGAGACTGCGTGGCGTTTCCGCGCAGGGCCGTCAAGTGCCGCTGTTATAAAAGGAATCGCCGGCACCTCGAATGCGCCAGTCGCACGTCGAAATCAGGTAGAGCTCACGTCCGCGAAGGTGAAAAAAAAAAAGTCGTCGCGCACCACCACCGCCGTCAGGTGAGTCGCACACTATTACAACGAGTTTACAACGAGCTCTTAGATCTTACTAGGGGTGAAACGCGGCCGGCGATACGCGAGTTTTGCATGAACCTCTCTCCTACGTAAGGGGCGTTAAGGTCGAAGGGAGGGAAAATTAGTTACGGCGTCGTGACACGCGACGCGCCCTTATTTCCACGCGGTCTAACTAATTTCTTTTGAAAATTAGGTGAAAATAGAAAGGTGTCGGAGGGAGGGGGGGAGCAGCTCGTTTAATAGTAGTAGTAGATCTTAGATATTGTTGTGGCGTGGTTAAGGTTTCTGGGTAGGGTTGAAATGGAACGGTATTTCTTTGCAGAAAACGTTGGTCTCTCTCTCTCTCTCTCTCTCTCTCTCTCTTCTTTTCTCTTTTTCTTTTTTTTTTTTTTTTTTTTTTCGAAACTTTCGTTTGAAGGATGGATCTTAGAAACGGCCGAGAGGGGTGTTCGCTGGTCCCTTTGGATTCCTTTCTTCCTACCTTCGTCTTTCGTTTTTTGAAATTAGAAGGAATGGAGAAAGATTATTCTCTCGTGGGACGGGAAATAGTTGGTAGGGACGTTCGGTTTTTTTTTTTGTACCTAGAAGAGAGAATTTCTTTTTTCTTTCTTTCTTTCTTTAGAACGTTCGTTTGAGGGATGGACTTCAGAAAGAGTTGGGACGAATGTTCGTTTGTTTCTTTTGGATTCCTTTTCCGTTTTTTCGTTCTTTGAAATTAGACGGGAAAGAGGAAGATAGCTCTTTTGGGGAATGGAGTTTAGAAATAATTGAGAGGGAGGTTCGATTTTTTGTAACTAGAAGAAAGGAAATATTTCTTTTTCTTGGAACTTTCGTTCGAGGGATAGATTTTAGAAATAGTCGGAACGAATATTCGTTGTTCCCTCTGATTTCTTTTCCGTTTTTCATTTTTTGA